TAAACTTGAGATGCTTCAATTCAATGGAAGCCCAATGCAGTGGCGGCCTTTCTGGGGCATGTTTAAGTGCACTGTCCAATTCTGACAAACATAAAACGATTGCACTATTTGAAGAACCTTATGACTGGACAGGCTGTAAAGGCCATCAACGGCATTCAAGCGACAAAGGGGTGATATGCAGACGCCATCACCCTTTTAAAAAATCGATGTGAAAACAAGAAAATCATCGAACAGCAATACTAGGCGAACCTGGGAACGCTTAAGCCAGTAAAGTCTTCCACTGATGTGGCCTTGTTGTGCAACCTATTGGACACCGTCCACATCAACATCAGAGGACTCAAGGCACTCGAATGCCCAAAGCTCTCCTATGCCTCCATGCTCATAGAGGTCCTGAAAAAAGTGACCCCAGGTGATGTCTTGATGGAATACTTCAAGCAACAAAGCCGGAGGACGAACGTCGAAGCGCTTACATCAGAGGCGAAACTGCAAAAGCTACTGGGTTACGTCGACATGGTGGTAGAGGGCTGGGAGAAAAGTGCCTTTGCAGACATCTATGGTGGTGGTTCGGAGACGATCAACAAAGGGTGTTTCACAACGCTTCACCTACAACTTCTGCTCTGAGCAACCACGCCCAAAACCAAAAAAGCGTTCCTCCCCCCACCCCCTCTTGAGCCCTCACTACGGGGTCATGCTCTTTCAACATTAGCATACACAAAAAATGCCAGGCCTGCGCGGTAGGCGCAGCACAGTTATAGCGAAAGCTAGAACAGCGGCCTTTTAGAGCCTTTTCAAAACACTCATTGAGTAACTACTGCAAGCACACTTACTTGGTACCCACTAGGGCATTAATAATAAAGTTTTGGATAGTAGACTAGCATTCGCTATGCTATTTTTCGTCATTCTTCTGAGAAGCGTGGTATCCGCTAAACATTTGCAAAGAATTTTGTGCCAATTGTCCATGCAGTGGCTGACGAAGATGAGGAATTATGGCTGAAGTGGGTATGCACCACAGTTAATAGGGGAACAAGAACAAGCTTTTTGTGATAGTTTGGAGCATTTGACGGCCCACTAGTTACGCTATTCGCATTGTGCGTCAACTGGTTGTTCTTTCACTGTTGTAAAACGTTTTATAACACATACTAACGCGATTGCTTTCCCGACATCAAGCCTGCCTAACACAAGTTTGACAATGAGTCACAAACACTGGTGTAGCTCAGAAGTAGAATATTGGACTGGCACCCAGCGGACCCTGGTTCGAGCCCCACTGTGCCATTGGCGCTAGGTCATGCCTGCCTAAGGCAAGTTTGACAAGTTATAAGCACCAACGTAACTCAGTGGTAGAATATTGGGCTGGCACGCAGCGGTCCTGTGTTCAAGCCCCACTGTGTCATTGGTGCAAGGTTTTTTTTTTTTTTAATTTTGCGTGATGTGGTTACGGACACCGGCGGCGATGGCGGAGAACAACTGCGCATGAGCTGAAAAGTGATCTCATAACAGATTTCGCTGTAATAAAAAGTCACCGAGCCAAGGCCGGCAGACCTTTCATGTGCACGAGCTAAGGACATCACTCTAAAGAATGCCATTGCTAAGAATGCCAGTGTAACAGGAAGCACATAGCCATAGTTTGCAACCCTGATATGCTCAGAAGCAGTGCTCAAATAAAGTGAGGGCCCTTAGCTTACACGTGAAAACGAATGAGTCGTGATCGCAAAATTTGAGAATGTGGTTCTGCTACAAACATTCTGAGCGTGGTTGCTAAACAAATGCGAGTCTGGCTTTATTAGAGGTGTCTTTGACAATGGAAGTCAACGGACATTTATTAAAGAAGATATCTCTAAGAGTGTAGAAGCTTTGGCTAGTTGGTCTGGGTTAATGATGGCTCCTTTCAAAGCATGAGACCAGCACTCCTTTCTACTCTGTCTCAATTTTTTCCTATGTTCTCACACCGTGAAACTCACCATCTCTAAAGAATTCAGCCTACCAACATTGCACACTGTTTGAACTTTGAGCAGCTGTTTGAACTTCTGACCCAAACCAGTTTGTGCAGAAGCTGTTATATGAGAAGTTTATTGCTGATATGACAGCAATTTCCTGGATTGAAAGCAGCAGCTGGCATAAGTCTGTTTGTAAGATCGGACCAGATGTGTAAATTTATGCTCAACCAAGTTCACCTGCATCAGCAGAATCTAAGCCTAGCTGTGATAAACACCAAGCTGGGATGGACGTTTTAAATTTCAAAGTTTGAGACCATGCGAAGAAGAAATTTCTCAGATGCTGTTTCACAAATCTAAGTACTTCACACGAGCTGTGTCAACACATACATGTCCCTCTTTCTGCAACAATTCTCGCATCTCAAGCGCATTGGTATCAGTGATCTGCTTATCAACAACTGCGAGAAAGAAACAGCCCGGCCATTCAACGAGGAGATACAGCCCAAGGACCAGCGATTTCAAGTCGCACTTCCTTTGGAGACTTTAAGCTCCACGCCAACAAATAATCGAGCAGTTGCTATGTGACGACCTCACAATTCAGCTTGACACTTTTCCACACAGCCAGAGCTAAAGCTTTACACTACAAGGCAATAATGCACTACCAAGCTGACAGGAACGGTAAAAAATTTTTCTTTGGAACAAGAAAACACATGCATAGACGACAGGCTTACTCTCAGATTACATGCCTTGAGGTAGCTCATCTCATGTGCGACAAGAACAGACCGTTGCTACTATCGAACTGGTAAACCATCTCATCATTATGCATGCTCACCAAACAGTGCTTCAAGGCAGTGTTGGTGCACCGTTACCAAGATTCGCGCTAGCTTCTCACCCGTGGTGTGGATAAGCCCATTTGCTTTCCCCGCTGCGCCTTTGCAACACGCTCTGTACTGCATTTTGGTGTTGCCGCAGGCAATAAAGCGTTGCAACCTTGAGCAGTACCGTGTTCTCGCCCGGGTGACGATTAACGCGTGCCCTGCAGCTCATTAAGACTAGACCCACGCTAGCGGCCGTACTCCCTTGGGATACGTGTATACTACAGTGTATACAATATAATTCTTTTGCAGTCTTCTTAAAAGGTTTGGCATTGTCAAAACAGACATTTCACGGTGTGTTTTGTCTAGCGCGAAACCATTTAAATGCCATAAGGAAAACGACTTGCGGTAGGATCTAGTACATGCTCTATATGAATGGCTCTCACAAGTGCACAAGAAAAAAAAAGCATGATATACACTTTCTTAGCGCCACCATAGTTTTACATGAACGTGGGTCCTGCAATATCTACTCTCGTTAATTCAATCGCTGGTCAGGTTCCTTGCTCTCCTTTGGCCACCGATAATTGGGTGGCCAAAGGAGAGCAAAAAACCTGACCAGTGATTGCAACTATACATAGCTAAACAGACTGAACTAAAAGTTCACAAAGGCCTCCCTTAATGGGGTGAGAGCCTTAAAGTCGTGGTTCCCAAAGCTGCTCATGACGACATGCTCCAACTCCTGCATGAGATGCACCAGGGAACGCCTGCAATGATGGCATTGGCCAATACCATTGTGTGGTGGCCTAGCATTGCCGAGGCTATTGAACAAATGAATAGAAATTGCCTTATAGGCATGAAATCAAGAGCAATGCACCGGCGAAAATCCCAGTAAGCTGGCTTCTAATGCCCAGAATCGGCCACATGTGCATTTGGATTATAGGGGTCCACCGAAAACAAAATAGTCTTAGTGGCATAATATCCACATTCAGAACTAATCCAAGTGATTTAAGTACAACGTGCTGCAGCACAATCAACTGTTTCATAGTTACAAGAAATCTTCATTAGGCTGAGCATATCAAAGACTATGGCAGACAACAGTACTCAGTTCACATCAGAAACCTTTACCAGGTTTCTAGCAGGAAATAACATCAAGTAGGTATCTTAGTAGAATATGCTATTACCCGGAATCAAATGAACTTAATGCGGTGCGAAGACACTGAGGGAAAGCCTGAAGAAAGTTAGGGCAAGTGACCTTTTCAAGCAAATAGCCAAACTGCTCTTTAGCTATTGGAGAACACATCTAGGTGATGGAAGGTCACTATTTCAACAATTGTTGGGATATCAGATCCATTCTCGGCTAGACACATGGCCCTCACTGCCTCTCACTTTTCACATTTGTTCGCAGACTGAACAAGAATGCAATCTGGGCTTTGGTACTCCTGTTTAGGCTCGCACCATCGAAGAAAGAGAGAAGTGGCTGCCAGCTACAGTGAAAAAAATCTAGAATGGTCAACGCTGAAACAGTAGCAGGTGAGCTACACCAGCACATGGATCAAGTTCCCTGAATGCTACTGAGCAGTCTCTGTGCAAGACAAGCGGCTGCCACAGGCGCTTCAAAGAGCACACTTGTATGCCAGATGCCACCAGAAGAAGTAAAATATCGTTTGTTCCTTTTTGGCATTAAAGGCATGTATATTCAATTTAGTTAGCCAACTACTAGTAATAATACTATGACTGAAAGCATTCTTGCAATCAAGAACTCAGCCAATACTTGTTTGTCCTACTTGCTACAATTTCTTACAAAGCTGACAACAAAATTGCGAAGAAGAGAGCAAGTTATTTAGGGCTGGTATCGAAAAAGTTTTCAGCTGTATGCAGTACAAAATTTGGCTCAAACAATCGTGGCAGCCTCGTCTCAGAAATTATTAAGGCTTTCTGAATTTCTTTCAGGGCCCCTTTAAGAATTTCGTGAGGTAAAATTCAATTTGGAGTCGCTTATTAGTGTATGCCTGATCAGATCTTGGTTTCAATACACAACACTTCAAAACATAATTTCTAAAGAGCTTCACACATATTTAAACCTGCATTATCGGCCAAATAAATATCAAGATGTACACATGAAATTTTGATTATTTATGCCTACAAATGTCCACACAGTGCCAAGAAAGGATCTGTGCTTGCTTAAAAGACCGCAAAGAAAAAAAGAGAAATACACAAGACAGCTTTCACTGCTTGTAAAATGGTGGTGAGTTACCTGCACATGGCACTCTCTTCGGCGAACAGCTTCCGTTTCATACAGTCTATGCTCCGCAATTGTTCAGCAGCATGAGTAGAGTTTGGTTGCTTTTTCAGGGCCTTTCGCAGGTAATTAGCTGCACCATCGAATTTTCCCATCATCTTGAGTCCTACGCCCACTCGATAAAGAGCACGAGCATCATCAGGATGGCTCTGCAGTGCTAGCTTTCCATATCTAATAGCTGACTCTGCTTTGCCCGTCTTGATGAAACACAGCGAAATGTTGTTGTAAAGCATGAGCAGCACTTCAGCACGTTCTTTGTCTTCATTCTCATTGCTTGTTCGTGCTTCTTCCAAGGCTTTTATGGCAGACGTGTAGCTCCTGATAGCATGGGCGTATTCACCCTGTTCATAGAAGGTGTTGCCAGTTTGCCTTTTGGCAACACATTTCTGAAACAAGAAGAGGTATATGATACGAATGAAACCATCAACAAGCACACAAAAAATAAAATGCATACATTTCCTGTGCCATGGTTACAAAATAATAAATATAAGCTTCATTAAGAAAACGTAGGTGTGCCTGTTCTTCATATCTGTAAAAAAAGTTACACTAACTGGCTTTTGTTCGAAGTGTGAGTACTTCCAGTCTGATAATATGAATACTCGACACACTTAAAAATTAAAGTTTCATTTTCCTAACTTTATAAATTCCTTTTGGCTGAATACTGATGTCAGAATCTGAGAAAATTTGTAAGAATGTTCAAGTTCTCCATCTAAAAAGAGCAATACAAACATATAGTGTACAGCGAAATTGAACAACCCTCAACACTAACAAATGCTTGACAATATAAAAATAAACGAATATAGTAACTGGATCTGAGCAAATTAATTTTTTGTGGGACTTGCTCACAGCCCGCCACCATGGATGCCACACCTTGATTCAAATTTCATCACTTTGATGTCCCTGTTAGTTCGGGTCTGACGTTACAGAACAGTCGTGCTTTAACTCACTGGGAGATCAGTTTCAATTTCACCCTCGAAATTCGATCATGAATATTTCAACATTTGTGACTTCTAAAAACTTGGTATGCCATAAATTACCATGCACTACATCTTTCTAACACAAGCAACTGCAATTAGATACATAATTAAAACATTTATTTACATTTTTTTTGTTAATGGCATCGCCATTTTAGCTACAGAACAGTATTTCTGCCTCCACATCAAGTATGTGTGCCAAAATGACAAGAGCATGACTGTCGTAAAATTTTTATTTAAAAAATCTGTATTGTCTAAAAAAACACACGGCGAATTCCATTGAGTGGGGAGACCTTGTGATCTAAACGTTCCGAGCCCCAGCATTCTCTTTGAGGCAGCAGTGAAATATGCTTGAAATCTATCAGTCACATGTTCATCGTTAACCTAATTCACAAATACATAGTATGTTGGTGCAATGAAGCATTCAGCAGACATCTTTGCCACCCGTACAAATGGAGCCAATACAGCCAACAACAGCGGCGTCAAACTACATATGGTTGCTACCATTGCCAGTGCACTTGCAGCTGAAGAATAATTTGGCGACTGACGTTAAAGGTCACATGACTCTCATCAACTGTGCCTACTCCATTTTTAGGCAAAAGCACTACAAGCTGCTCTTGGCTGCTCTCGGCACTGCAAAAGCGCTCCCGTTCTACCACCGCATAAAAGCGCAACCGCATGCACGCAAGCCCAACCACATGCGCGCAACCACATGCACGCAAGCGATGAGCGGCAGCGACAAACTTGTGCCGTCACGACGGCTGCAACCACATGTCGGTAACAAAGGGTCATTGTGATTAGATTGAAAACTATCATGGGCATACCCATAAATTGCTAAAAGAAGTTTAAAAGTAGGTTGATGACAACATGCCAAATTTATTACTCTTATGTGACATGAAGATGCAACAAAAGCGTTTAACGACCTTATTTTTTCGCACTCTGTGGTTTGTTTACCTGCGACAAGGTGCCTAGAAACGTATGCTACAACGACTACGATGGACTTCGCATGATGATCTGAGATTGCAGCAAGCAGCCATAATTGTGACAGGCTACCATCGAAACATCGAAACAAACCTTCGAGAACAAGATTCACAATAAAATCTGACCGCTGTCCCACTCTCTCCACGAGATGCGAATAAAAGAAAGGTGGTCGATACCTTGCATTCTTTGAATCGCTTGTGCATAACAAGCATCGGGAGCAAATTGCAACCAAATCGAGGACCAGGGGTGCAGCCATGTTGCCGGAAATTGTCACGCTGGCTTTCAGATGACAAGCGATCTTTTTTAGTTTTCCAGTATAGCACGATGACTATAAATGAGCTTCCTCAACAGCAAACCTTGTTGCTCATCACCGCCGCTTGTCACTGTCGCTAGAAAATCGCGCGCATGCGGTTGGCCCTTAACAGTGTTCTTAGTCCTGTTCGATCGCAAACATCCTGGCTCTGACGAGAGCACTTTCAGCGGGCTTTTGAGTACTCCTGGTTTCCCAATGGCATTCGCCATAAGGTTCCGACAGAACATACATCCTATATCTACCAGTACATCTGAAAATTGGAGGACAGTGTTAGGCTCATAACTCTGCCTATGTCACTACTGTAATCTATATTTATTTTAGCACAACAGCAGATGTGTTCAATACAAGTCAGTCAATAACAACAATAATAACACACAAAAAAACCACCTCATCACGGTGAAAAAGTATCATAAACGTACGACACTTGGTACAAGTACAGAAGCATATGCTACATATCACACACTGGAACTCAATGAAAAAAAGACTCGGCATACAATAGATTCTGGCTCTTGATGAAAATATTTTAAGCTGTTTTGTGCAATCTATGAAACAGTTTTGTGTAGCTGTGCTATAAAGAATATAAGAAATGCTTCTGGGATAATAGAAGTATCTTTCTGAAAGAAAACTTGCATCAGTACAACATTCCCGGACGCTGCAGTGCACATATAATGAAAAGAAGAAAAAAATCGGCTCTGTATCTGCCTATTTCACTGCAAAAGACACTGAAAGGCAACAGTCTTCTGCCAGCAAGCCCTGCTTTAGAATGCCACAATTTTCTCCTCGCCCTCTTCTCTCGCCTACGAAGAGGTGCAACAGGCGGGCAAGGAGGACATTGAGGCACTCCTGCCTGCGGAGAGGGGGGCGAGAACATCGAGGCATCTACACTGCGTAATATGGGCACCGTTTGGCAGTGATTTCAAGAAACTAAAGTATTTGCGAACAAAGCGCAACTAGTAGGTGGCAGCACTGTCATTTTAGCAAAGTACCGCATTGTCAGAACTGCATAAGAAACACTGCGGTCTTTAAAATTACCTATTTATGCATCTCATAAACAATGACACACACTACCTAGTACTCACGTATTGATGTTGCACCAAATTTGCACAATCTTTCCTTTTTGATTGACAATATTCACTAGAATGAACACAGTCAGGAGATCAAGATGGGAGGCTGTTCAGCAAGGTGTTAAACTTTTGCTCGAGAGGCTGAATCAGTTGACAGACAGACAGACAGAAAAACCAACCAAAACTTCTGCATTGAGGTACCTCAAGAAAGGCTAACATCTTTAAAATAACTCGTTTTGAAGCTATGTTAAGAGATACCCTGGATGCAAGCAAGTGCGCACTAGCATGCACTGGACCCTCAATACCGACAGCACTCAGTCCTGGTAAGCAATACATTGTACACAAAACAATTCGCTAAAATCCATAGAGAAGTTATGCACTTGCCTCCAGAGAAACTGTGTTCAAAATAATCAGCACACACTCATGAATTATTCTACTACAAAACAAAGAACATTAAGCAAAGTGGTAAATGAAAAGGGGCAACTTAATTGGCCACGCTAAGTAATACCCCTGTCACACGGGCACCCACGAACACCGCTTGACTCCCTCGTCTTTACAACGAGGGAGTTGCACTCCGTGTCACACGGCAACCTTTACGCAAGCGAAGGTAATTGGAGCCTTTCGCAAAGGAAGTTTGGCGACCTTCCTTTGCAGTGCAACAAGGTACTCTCGTCCCCAGTAGTCTGCAGGTCAGAAAGAAATTTGGAGCATTAAAATGGCCGCACTGAAAACAGTAATACATTTTGGCAATATTAAACATTCTTTCGTAGCAGTAATAATTCATAACGTGTGTTTCTTCACATATATACACGCCCGCCGGAGTGCAGCTATTCTCGACACTGTGCCTCGCGTGTAGAGCTTGGATATTTCGTCCGTGTGTGCCGTTGTTGTCGTCGCAGTGTTTGCGTTTGCCTGTGAGAGGAACGACTGACAACGCTGCATCATTGTCACCAGTTGAAGACACAGCACAGTATACAGTATAAAGACAAAATCTGCACTCACGAGGCAAGGAAACACAAGAACTTTTGTACATAGGCTTCAAAACAACCAGTTGTAGAGCACGGCACAATTGTAAACAAACATTTTAGGCATAAGGTTGCCAGCGTTGCTGCCAGCATTGCTACATTTAGCGAATGCATTTTCATTTGAAATAATTTTTAATGCTTTCTTCGCTTCAGACATACTTAATAGCATGTTTTTGTAAAGATTCACAAGAAAAGCAATTAGAGATGAAATTAGGATATTTCTGCAAAAATAAAACAGCGCCGGGTGAGCCCCTCGCGGCAACTACACAATCTTGTCAGAGCCATGTGACGCTGCCACAAGTTCATCTCCGTCGAACTCCCTAGGGGAGACTTCCATTGACGAAGTTTAACAGAGTTTGGTGGTGGTTGTATGAAGGTGTATAAAACGTGCTCGACAGAGTGAACACCACCTTTGAACGTGCTTCGTCAGGCTTGTCACTCGTTCGAATTCTCTCGTTCTCGTCCAGATGGAACAAAAGGGCTTTGTAAATGCAGCAGTTGCAGCGCTACATTGGCACTAAGAACGAGTGTGCAATATATATATATATTGCACACTGGGCCTCACGAGGGCATAACATTAAAATAACAACCATACAAACTTAAATGACTAAGCTTCGATGATTGTTTAACATAATCATACAAATTAATAATGTCAAAGGTAAGTCAAATGCCATCTCTAAGCATGTCTAAAACTTAAGCCCGAATCTCTCCTTAATACGGTGATGTGTTTTTTTCTACTGAAGTAATGGCACGGAAAATGTAGAAATGCAGCCATATTAACTCTTTCGTTACTACGCCTATTCAAATCGATCACTGCTGATTGACGCTTTTGGATCGTCGATATTGACAAGCTAGGTTTGTTTTTCGTGCACCCAACATTTTCTAGCAGTTAGTCCAGCCACTCAACTTTCAGAATCAATTTGAATTTGCCCGTTTTGGCAACATAGTAATTTTTGAGAGACATTTTAGCGAACCAATGTGCGTGTATTGTTGGAAAAGTGCAGTTGGCTGGCGAACTTGAAAGAAGTG